GGTCGGGCTCAGGCACTTTGGTGGGTGCCGTCGAGGGTGTTGATTCAGGCTCGGGCACTTCGGTGGGTGCTGTCGAGGGTGCTGCCGGTGGTGTGTCTGGTGGTGTTGTGTAGTTGTCATATTCTTCGCAGATGTCCAATACTGGTTCATCGGAGTTAGCTCGCGGTAATAATTTGTGTCGGATGTAATTCTCTCTCTTGGAGGGTCTAACAATTTGATTCAACTTCTCTTAGTCTTTCTTTCTCTTTGTTTCTAAATTCTTCAAATCTCTATCTAAACTTCGGATAAGCTGTTGTCGGTCTTCTTTCGACTTGTTGGATGTTCTTCGTGGTTTTGGATACATGCATTCTTCTACTAGTTGTCGGTGTCAGATTCGTGTCTGCAGTCAATCATGCAGTTTGGGTAGAACTTCGGGAAGACTGTCGGCGGGTCAATTGTCGATAAAGTCATTGTGAGGTTGTTATTTCTTTTCTGTGCAAATATTGACGGTGGTGCGTGTTGGGTTGGGTTGTGTTCAGCCGAGTTGTGTTGGGTCGAGTGTGCTGGTGCAGTATGCAGACTGGTCTTCCACTTGCTGGTGCCGAGATGGAGTTTGATGAAGAGTTTCGGATATTTGGGTTTGTCTGGAATGATTTCTTCGATAATGTCGTCAAGTTGTTGGAGTCCGGATTGGGCGATGGCGTGATTGGCGAGAGTTGTTGCAGCGAACGTGTTGATTTCGAACTGAGTTCGGACTGTTGTTTTGGTGCTGAGCTGTTGACTCTATCGGAGGGGTTGTCGAAAAATTGGTGGTGCGTTGTCAAGTTGTCCCTCGACAAGTTCTCTGATACTTGGTAATAGAGTGATGGGTTCGTCGTTGGTGTAGGTTCTGAGGATGTGCTTCGGTATTTGGAGTGGATGCAGGAATTGGAATTGTGTCGGAGCACTAGGATTGCTGGGTCGACGACTGCACGGAAGATGAGTTCGTTTCAGCAGTGGTGTCGGTTTGTGTCGAGCGCACTGGTTGAGGTCTCGAGCTTGGAGTGGGTGGTCTTGTGCTCGGAGATGGAGTTCGCCAATGAAGCTGTTGAGGGCGTCCGCTGATGAAGGTGCTGGTAGATTGGAGTTTCTTGTCAAAGAGGGCTGTTGGTGGTCTTTGTTGGTGATTGGACTCGGAGATCGAGAGAGAGAGAGCTTTCAGATTCTGCAAAGATCTCCTCTGGGAAGGGTCTGCCTCTACTATGTTGGGCGGCGATCGCTTGGACGCTGTTGATCCATATTGGTGGTGGCATTTGTTTGTTGAATTTGGGCGAATTGGGTGGTGAATTGGGTAGCAAATTGGGTGGCTAATTGGGTAGCGAATTTTGGCAAGTTGGGTAGATTGCTTGATCTTTCTTGCTATCTGCGCACAAAGAATGGAGAAAGAATGGAAGAATTTGTGAACCTAAAGGGGAATTCAAAAGCTGTGGTCGCCAAATGAAAAGGTGTGAAAACTCTTCTTCGCTGGAAATCTATTGTTAGTAAGAAAACAAAAGAGAAAAAGGCCCGATCCCCAAGGGCAGAGAAGAAGCACGAGAAAAAGGATGCTATGTAATGATGGAATGGAGATAGGGATCCACAATTTGGATTCCCCCTTTTGAAAGGCTAGCGGTTCTAACTACTAGCATATACTATATGCTGTGCATGATTTAATCTATGGCTCCGATGCAGCCTTGGGTTCAAAGTCGGAGTCCCCTGAGCCTGGGTTTTTGGTTAATACACAATGTGTCAAGTGCAGTGCTTCGCGTAAGCTTGTGGGTGTGACTAGGCTAGTGGAGTCATGTTTTAAAGCTTCTCCTTGTCCCTTACCATGCTCGCAGTGGCTTAACGTACCCATGAGCAGTTGAGGGACTTCTTCGAACCTCACATATCCTTGTGTTGTATCATCGCCTCGCTTGCCATGCTTCTTCTCTTGTCAGCCATCAGCTATGCAGAGTCTAAACCTGCAAGCAGCTCTTGAGGAATTGTTTGCTCTCACCTGATGCTCGATCAAGGCTCTCACAACGTACTCGGGACTAGACTACAGTGGATATCACTGATGCAACAAGCTTTAGGTTCCGAGTCTAAGTTAGTTGCACCAACTCAAAGATGTTCTGTTTTGTTTCATGGTTTTGAACATGGTTTTTCTATAGGAACAAGCATCAGACTGGAAGCTTTTGGGTGGTGTCTTGATGAATTAAGCTCCCTGAGGGTTTCATCTTGCGAAGAAGAGAGAAACAACTACCCCCAACCTTCAGCACTCTTGACATTTCCAGATGCCTTGCAACTCGAATCTCTTGGGCAGAACGCACCGGTGCTCTTGAGGGGGGTGCCTGGTTCAAATCAAACTGATGGGAAACATTCGCGTGCCAGCTGAGCGCCATGCCCAGAATTTCAAGAAACGATTCATGAAAGTAACAAACACGTTAACAAGCTATTAATGCATAATTTGGACGGGAACCTGTTGGCCGGATATCTGGCTCGAATAAAAACAATTATTGGCAAGGTCACAGGTTCGAACCCACAGCCAGAGACCCAATTAAATTTTACTTCGCTTGCGCAAGGCACCTGGGTCTTTATGGAATTCGCTGGAGTGCAGCAGCAGCCACGATGATCATGGTCAGTGTGTCGATCTAGCCCAGACTCTTCCTTTTGCTTTAAAGTCATGCTGGAACGCGTCTCAGCATTGCTCGCTTGAACGCCAACAGGTTTGGACGAGGAGAGGAGCTTAAACTTGCAGCCCGCGTGACTCGCAATGCAGCCTTGTCTACGAAAGTATCATTGCATTTCAGCTAGAGGGGGTGTCCAAGTTTGCTAAATCCTCCTACATGCTTCGTCAAAATAGCGAATCGCCGAGGACTACTGACGACCTGGATAACGATACGCTGCTCCACACTTTCCAGCAGCGTTTGACTGCCACGCTTGTGCCAACCTCATGTAAGAAAGAGTGGAGCTGAGCGAGAGCGTAGCCTTTCTTCTCGACGTGGGTCCTTGCAGAGCATTGTGTTGTATCATTCCACCGCTTGTCATGCTTCTTCTTTGCTCTCACCTGACGCTCGATCAAGGCTCTCACAGGCTGCAATGAATAACAAAGGAATCACTGGTGCATCAACCCTCAGGTTCTGAGTCTAATCAGTTGCACCAAATCAGGGATGTGCCTCTCGTGTTTTTGGGAGTGAGTATTTAATTTCATGGTTTTGAACATGGCCAGAGGATTTGATCTTGCAAAGAAGAGAGAAACAAATAAATACCCCAACCTCCAGCACTCTTGACATTTCCAGATGCCTCTCAACTCTGCTCTTCAAGAGGGTGCTTGGATCAAATCTAGCTTGCTCATTTTCCAGAAACTTTTCTTGTTCCGAGAAACAAATTTTGCTCCAAAAAAATCCTGGAACCAAGAAGAGAGGCTTGGAAACGTTCGCGCGACCTTGCCCACGTGATTGATACGGAACAAGAAATCAGCACGCGTGCCATTCACTCAAAATCAAAAACAAGCGAAACACTTTAACAGGCTATTAATGTTACGGGAACCTGTTGGCCGGATATCTGGCTAGAATAAAGAAATTTATTGGCAAGGTCACAGGTTCGAATCCACAGCCAGAGAACCACCTAAAAACACTTTTTTCAAGTGTAGGCGATGTTGGAGTTTCTCCGCGATATTGGAATTTCCTTGTTTCTCCCTCCCGCAGGCTCGAGAGACAAAAAAGACAGTGGTCGATCTAGCCCAGAAACAAAGGATCCTGGAATGTGTCTCTCGCTTGGAACGATAATAGATTTGGAGGAGGAACTTGCGCCTCGCGTGACTCGCAATGCAGCCTTGTTACGATCGCACAGAGTGCTGCAGACTGCCAAGGAAGAACACGAACGCTGAGCGGCACACTCTGCAAGCTGGAACGCGAGCTATTGAGCGGAGCAGAGACAGGACACGACCCTGGACATCGGTTTACCGATGCCCAAGAGTTTTGGCAACCTTCGAATGGCTGTGAGTCATGATCTCCAGCCCAGAGGACAGGTCCAACTAGCATCGGACTTTTCCCCACTCTTTCATTTTCCAGCGCTGGAATTTGGCTCGACACTGGCCTCGTCTAGCTTCCCAGATCTCCCCAGCAGATCCACCAAGCATCTTAAATGTTCCATGATCGTGGACATGCTGTAGTCTTGGGCTATGGACGACAAGTAGTTCTCATCCCGAGATGACTGCAGGCAGAAGAGCTCGCTCTGATCACAAGATGCAAAGGAGGGAGAAGCGTTGCAAAATTTTTTGATTGGGTTGCTGGCTGTGGATTCGAACCTGTGACCTTGCCAATATATCCGGCCATCAGGTTCCCGTCCAAATCGGACACTAATTGCTTCTTACCTTCACCATAACGGCGCAAGCTCTCGCTCATTTCTAAGCATCCTTTCTAAACCCGTGGGAACGTTTTATAAGGCTGTCATCCTTTCTGCGGTTGTCAAGCTCACATTATGGAATGAAGATTTCACCACTGAATCCCTGGGATAACCTACCTTTTCGTTTTTTGAGAAACAAGGTTTCCCTGCATCCAACGACTGAATGTCCGAAGATGGCTTGTTTGAGCATTGAAGATTAAATTGATCCAGGCACGCTCTTGATTGGCAGCAAAGTTAAGAGTACAAGGCTGGAGGTACTTCTCTGTTCTTTCAAATCCTGGGGAGCTATTTCATCAAGGGGCTTTCTTGTCGTGTTCTATCCAAGTTTGATGCTTGTTCCTAGCAGCAACAAGAAAAAATCCATGAAATTTCAAGTCACACCCTGTGTGAAGAAGAGGGGGCAATGCATGGAAAGTACTCGAGGCCAAAAGGTGGCTGTCCACAACAAGAGTATTTAGAGCAAAAAGGGCGAAAGATGAACTGTGGGAAAGCAATGCTTTCACTACAACGTATATCCCTTGTGCCCTGCTGATCAATCCAAAAGCCACAACGCTGGTGGTAGTGCAGCAGCTCCTCCGTCCCGCGTTTAAATTCTACAAGCTCTTGCCAGGTGCAAGGTTCCATGGCCGTTTGCGACAAGAGAAATGCTGGTCACGTCTTTCGAACTGGAGCTACCTGAATTGGATGCCGTGGTTGGCTGCTTGCGAACAGTTAAGCTATCAATCACTGTGCCTCTTTTGTTATTTTATTCACTCCAATGGTGGTGATTTGCCAGGTCCCCCAGGAAGCAGAGACTATCGTCAAGGAGACCATCCATGGTTTTAATGCTTCTCATTTGCCTCCTCCAAAAGAGGGCGTCATTCGCATGGAAGCCAACGGTGGATTCATCCTCCAGAAGATTAGCGACGAGAAATGCTACATAAGGTACACTATTAGTTTTTTTTTTTTTTTGTTTTCTTCTTAAGATAGTCACTACTTCTTTTACAGAGCAGTAATACACCTGGACCTTAAGGTCGACCTTGTTCCGACATGGGTGATTAACTTCCTTGGGCGTCAAGTTGTGGGACACGGCTTCAGGCTATACCTCAAGGTATATTTCTTTCCTTTTGGGGTGAAAAATGTCTAAACTTTGTGTGTTACAACAGACTGTTTCTTCTGTTAAAGAGAGCAAAGTGTTTCAAGAATGCATCAGGCAACAGCCACTCTACAGCCGCATAACGTTACAGATGCTACCAAAATCGAGCCACCAAAATGGATACAAGAGTTGAGGTGCTTTTCATAAGAAGTATTCATAAGAAGTATTCATAAGAGCATTTACATTTATAAACAATTTATAAACAAAGAGGAGCTTGAGGCCCACCGATACTCCTGAAAAGTCCGAACTTATTCATGAGACATATGCAAGGTGGGTTTTATAAGATTTCTGTTGTTTTGCATGTCTAGAAAAATCTGCTGCAGTCAAGCTCAAGAAAGAAACCATTCTCTTCTCGATGGAATGAAACTCTCACTTGCTCCATGCTCTGGCGAGGCCATGGCAAACAAAATGGGTGGACTCTTCGTCTCAATCTGACAAGCAGCTGATGCAAAGGCTACTTTTGAGAAACAAAGCGTAAGTATGCTGCAACAAGAACCAGCAACAGCCGTTTAAGGTATTGTCGTGGAAGATGGCTTGCCTGAGCTCGAGTTTGATTTGATCCAGGCACCCTGGTCCCATCTATTCTTCACTTGGTTGTCAAAGCTTGGAGGTCCATAGGTTTCGATCCTTTCAAATCCTGCTCCAACTTTTGATGCCTTTTCTTGGCAATAATATATTGCTCTGAAACCGTGAAAGCTTACTCACCTGCAAAAAAAACTCTAGGGTTGCACCAGACATCCAATAAACCAGAGAAGCTCTCGAGGAAAATCCTAGATTCAACATAAACAAGTCACACCTCATGGAATTGGTGGTGATCTTGGTGCAACTAGCTAGTTAAGCTTGTCCTCAAACACATGGTTTTGGCATTTGTCTTCCACACTATTGTCCAATCTTGTGAAAGCCTTGACCGAGCTTAAACTCAATCAGCTGAGAACAAGCTGTCTCAAAAGTTTCCAAAGAGCAGAAGGCATAATACAAAGGTCACAAACTCATCTCATCACAAGTTGCATTGTGGTCACTCCACGCCTTGGATGTTGATGAACTACAGGCCTCCATTTATCTTGGAAAATACATCTATGAGGAATGAAGCAATCTGGACAATAGTATAAGCAAAATGAGCACGAGAAGAACCATACATACCGTGGAAAAGCATAAGTTCTACACTCAAAACGACACACACATGGCACGGGCAATGTTTGATCAAATGCCCGAGTGCCACAACATTGTCGCATGGACTGCTAGGCCTACGCTCTCACTGGGAATTTCTTCCACGCTTTAATTTGATCCTCTACCAGGAGATGGTCTTGGAAGGAATGGCCACATTCACTTCCGAAATCAGAAAAGTTCTTTGTCAGGATGTACCATCTAGTAGGACGAAACTGGCCTCAAGAATGCTAGAGCATAAGTTATAACATGTAGATACGTGGGGCTCCTCGCCAAATGATGAACCTATGCAGAGACTTGCCCGATCGTGGAGCACTAGTACACGCAAGGTGGATTGTTAACATTGAGGATGTCATTGTCGTGTGCTAAAGTGGCCTGAAGAACGCCACCGTGATTGGATTCCTTGTGATTCCATCACTCTTTTAGCTAATAGAGCTTCTAATTACAATCTTTTACAAGGAACCCACAGTACAAAGACTAAGCTCGGTTACTAAGCTCAATAATGAAGATTAGGCCATTGTTGGAATGTCCATTTTAGGGAGTTGTGCTCTTATTGGATAGCTCATTGTAACGCTTGAGCTAAATGCTTTTCAATTAAAACATACAATAATATGCTTTGCCTCCTGTGGGAACATGCAGTCTATGTTAGGAGATCTCAGCAGGCATGGTGGATCAATGTTCCATCTGGAACGGATGAAATTTCTTGCTCAAGGTGCTCGTCTGCCCACATTCCACAGCAATATTCTGAAGCTGTACGTGAAGGAGATACTCGATGGGTTGTACAAAGAGATCAGGAAGATCCTGGTGCCGTTCATGTGGATGTTGTGCTGCCATTTGAATGAAAATTCCGGGGTTGGTAAATCTGCATTCGTCTGGTACTTCCGGTCATGATCTACGAGTCCAGAGCGACTGTTTTGATGTTCAAGGGTAACAAAGCTCAGGGTGGTGAATAGAGAAGACTTCCCTCAGGAGATTGTGCTGGACAGCAAAGTAGATACCATCTCATCGATCTGTGAGTGGACTTGGGGCGGATGGTTGGAAATAAAACCCTTGTTGTTGCTTCATCACCAGACGAGTTCAATGTCAGAAAAGCCAAGCGGACAACGTTCACTCGCTATCTGCCTGCGTGGGAAAAGCACGAGTACGATGCTCTTGTGTCTTCTTGGAGGAAACGCGTGACAGACTACGAGAGTGGAT